TGGTAAATTAACCCTTTCCACTCTCTAATTCGAATTTTGCCACCGGCATCCGAGTGAAAGGGGAAAAAAATGAAGAAAATTTTGGTTTAATTATTTAAAGGAGCAGCAAGTATTAATTACTACATCACTTTTGGAGAGTTTGTTGTTTGATGATCCGTTGTTGAAGCTCAAATTTAATCCAAAGGATTATTATAATAATTCATCACAATCATAGTTGAAAAATTTTAATTATTCACACCTAATAAATTATTCTAGAAATATATTACTATCACTATATAATATTTATGCATTGCACTTGTATCAAATAAAACGTCGCAGTTCATTATTTAAATTTTCTAAAGTAGTCTTTCTAACCGTTGCCAAAATTTATATGGGAACAACGCCATACAATATCATATTATTGATTTCTTTTAATTTAATTGACATATTTTAATCCCAAGGCAAATTTTTAATATCCAACATCCAAAATTATATTCATTTGAATATATATTCAGATCTAGTAGATGATTTCCCAAAGTTTATTAAGAAAGTGGGAAATATTTCGAAACTTGTACTCGCGCCAAAAAGTAAAAGTACATTTATAACAGTTGGGAAATATAAAGGAAATAAATATGGATAAGCAAGTTAAAGTAAATGTTTAATGTTTTTTAAATAAGTCGGTATTACAGACAGGATGAATAAAAATTTAAAAATATTTGTTTCTTGATTTTCTATCTGCTTTTATTTGATTTTTAAACCCTTTGTTCCGTCGCTGTGGGTCAAAAATTGAAAACTGAAGTTACACAAAAATTATCAGAATTTTACTAAATATCTTAATAATATGCAAACATTTTTTCACTAAATTATGGTTTCCGTACACATATACTCGTATGCCCAAAATTTACTTATTATCCTAGCTTACTCTAACAATGAAAACATATTTTAAATATTTGAGTTTTGAATTTTGTTTAGGAACTTTATAGTCTGTATTTAATTCAGAAACTCGTACTAATAAATAAAAACAATTACTCATACAAAAAATTAAAATGCAATAAATAATATGAACTCAGTTTTAAAAAAATACTTATGATATAATCGTGGATGATGTTTTTTTAAATAGGAATATACTAGTTATCCTCTCAAAATTTTGTGCATTTAAATTTGTTTCTATGCTATGATCTATTTAAAAAATAATTATCTGAATAGAAAATGAAATCTGTTTCTCTGTGTGCAGAAAAAATACATGGCATTGAAAGTTTTTATGGGACACCAACAAATAGATCATACTATATTCTATTAATGTGAAATAGATCAATGAGATCTGAACATACACATAAATTGTGAGAATTTTCATCGAAAATTTAATAATATTCATACATTTTTCAAATTATGCGATCCGTGTCAATATATTCTTATAATTTATTTAACTCTAGCTCACTCTAACAATAAAACTAGTGGTGCATGGCATCGTGGCTTAAGGCAAATTGCCGGAACTTCCCGCACTGAAAACTAAATTATTAAAAAAAACTTTGCAAAACTTTGAAAAAATTAGATTTTTGAGAAATTTTGAAATTTTTGAAAAATAATTACTTTTTTGAAAAATGTTTTTTCAATTATTTAAATCGGTCCGTTATCTCAAAAACTAAAATACCATTTTTGGCACTTTTTGCCCCGTATCTCCGAAACGGATAAACCTACTTTTGCCAAAAACTAATCAGCACGTCTCCTTATCAGTAGGAATCGAATGTTTTTTGAAATATTCAAATCGGTTGATCTGTGTTCGCGAAATCGTCGATGAAAATTTGTATCCGCACACACAAACACACACGTACACATACACACACGCACATAGATACATCCATTTTTTCTAAGGTATGCCAAAATGTTCAGAAACCTCTGAAACGTAAAGATATATAAAAATTTTCATTTTCCATTTTTTTGCGATTATTATAACTTACCCTACGGGAGTTAATAATAGTTAGTTTAGAATTCCTTACTAATATATAAAAAATAAAATTAAAACTAATCAAATAATATCAAATCTGTATTTGTTAGTTTGGATGCATTTAAAATAAATATTCTTAAAAATAAATATTATTATTGTATTAATTACCTTTCCAAATTGCTTTTTAAATCAAGTAATATGTCGTATCGTTGATTTTTTTTAAATTTTTGAATAACTTTCTATTATAAAAATAAAAAAATCGTCTGAGTAGTGAAAGAAATCTCTTCCTCTGTGTACAGAAAAAAATAAATGACATTGAAAGTTTTTATGGGACACGAGTAAAATGTTAATACTATACACTATTAATATGTAGACATTGACGCTTAAATATGAAGCGAATATTTGAAGGATTATATTTTACATTTTCGTTGACAACTGTAACTAATGATATATTGACGTTTCTCTACAAATTTAACCTGAGAATGTAGACACACATACAAAGATGTAATATATAGTAATTTTCATGCATGTATTCATTTAATAGAAAACAAAATTTAGTTTGAGGAACTTTTATATAACTAGCATAAGTTCGAATCATCATTTTACCCTTGTCCAGTCCAATGAAATACAAATGCAGTAAAATCCTGTTAAAACGATTTTTCGGGAAACGGACCAAGAACTAGTCTTATGAGTGATATGACTAGTCGTATTATGCGGGGTATATATGTCTCACAGTGTTAATGTTGATAAACATGATTGTCTTAACGGGGTCTTACTTATTTTTAGGTTTTTATTTTTTTACTCGATTTTTTAATTATGATAATCAAATAATTTACTATTTTAGAATTCTGATTAAATGTGCCAACTTTTAATAAAACTTGCTAACACACTTTAGTGCTTTTTGTTAAAAGAGGGCCTCCCAAAGTCTACTAATTTTGAAAATTTTAAATTCATAATTCAACAAAATTCTTGAATACTTGGAGCAATTGTGTCATTATTTTTGACTGTGGTCCTAGAAATGTTATTTACGATTACGGATCCAAAGCTTATAGGAACAAAATTAATAAAAATTAACCACAATAACAAAAAATGTCCACATTTTCACCAAAGCTCTAGGCTGCACTTAAAATCTCATAGTTTACACCCTGTATACATACATACAAAGTTATATAAACAAAATGGTTACAGAACTCATATTCACACGTGCATAAATTTTGCCTACGAAAATAAACGATTCAAAGCTTTATAGTAAGTGTCGTAAATGTCAAATTCTGATTAAATGGGAACCGATATAAAATTTAATATTTTCCTTCTCAATATATATTAGTTTTATGATTTATGGTGTGCAGTTGTTTCTATATTTATTTCTTTTCGAATAATACATAGTAATTGTTGTATGTAAGGTAATAAGAAGCAGTTTAGCAATAGACTACTTTACACTTTACTGGAGAAAAGAAAAAAAAAAAAAATAATTTTAACAATGTACATGGAGAAAATTTAAATAAATAAATAAATAATTCTTTTATAAATTTTTGATTCGCCAATTTTGATGTCTTGTCCACGTTCTGGAAGGCTATCTGAAGTGATCAAATCAAGCTTTACTTGATGCAAAATGACAAAAAAATATTAGGGTAGGGCAAGACACAAAGATCCAATTCGACTTTGAGCAATGGTATTGTGAAACCAAGCCAATTATATCACAACAAATAACACAATCAAACAAACAACTATCTGCCTATTTTCAATAAAACTCCCAGCTAATTCATCTTTGTAGATTTTTTTGCTATTTTTAAAAAAATTGTCACCTGGTTCCTTTTATCCCAGTGAAAAAAGATCCACCATTTTAATTGTTAATCATTTATTTTGATCATTAATTTATTCTTGACCATTGAAATCATCATAATTGTTTTCTCGTCCCCTTATGAATTGAAAACTGAAATGTTTGAATCAATCCATTAATTTTGAATCGCATTTAATGTTAGCTTTCAGTTATAAATAATCTTTTTTCTTGTACTTTTCGTGACTTTAAAATCTCGTCGGTTTTTAAATAATTTTATCCAATTGTAAGCATTGTTTATTGGTAAAAGAATCAGTTATTATTCACAATGCGCATGTATAATTGGGATTCACCTTGCTGCGCCCGATATAACTATGGTTAGACTGAAAGCAAACTAAATAACAAGGGCGCAAATATTAAAAATTAAATTTGAAATCGTTTTAAAAAAGAAATAATTATATATTAATATCATACAGTTTGATATGTCCATAATACTTTAGGGCAATCTAAAAATTGATAAAACGTAGTTAGTTTGCTTTGGTTTTAACAAGGATTTAGAAGGTAATGATGTGAAATTAAGAGTCACTTGCTAAATTTAAAAAGTATGAAAATAAATCGAATCCGGGATTAAATGGCATTTTTTTGGCAGATTGTGATGCGTTTAAGACCTGAAGATGTTGATTAAAATAGTATACTTTTTGATATATTTTTTTAAAAACTATCAGTACATTAACGAGTCCTATGAACCGTTGTGCTGACTTCTTCTTAAACGGAGAAGCTTTTTATATATGGCAATATATATGTATAACTTGTATTAAAAAAATATCAAAGTTACTGCATTTGAAAATTTGAAAAGTATAAGACGATGTAGAGATAAAATTTTAATTTTCGATACTGAAAGTTCCAGCGATTTGCCTTGAGGCTCGATGCCCTGCATTGCTACTTAATATATTTTTCAACTAAAGTTATAAGTAGCTAAAGTTATATCCAAGTTGGTACATTTGAAAAATCGAAAAGTATAAGAATATGTAGAGATGTCAATCACCGCCAGCCTCCCGTCTATATCACGTGCCCCCTGTGGATGCCCCTCGTCGCCCGCGATGTATCTCTCGCGAACATCAAGAAAGCTTTTAGCTTGGTGTCATCGTATCGGCCTGTTGTCTGCACAGCGATTGTGTAACGCGCCACGTAAATAGCAACTGCCACGGGCGCGTGTCCCCAGTGTATCTAAGTACTACGCCAATTCAACTGGTGTATCGCGCGTCTAGTGCAGCCTCAATCTAACAACCGTCGAAAGTGTTTTCAAAAGTGTTTTCACAGACCAAACGAATAATGTAATGAGTTTGTTTTGAATTTGTGTTTGACAAAGTTAACAAGTGACTTAAGTGTGAATTATTTAGTGCTAAATTTTATTATGTTTTGATTTAACAAAAAAAACACCATGCCGCTGTATACAGATCTTCCGAGTTTCGGGTATTATTACAGCGGTAATATTTCCCCCTATTCGAATCACTCGTCTTTGGGTGGAGGATATTCCCGAAATCCATACACCTTAAGTTCTTATAGTGGCTATTCGCGCGGTTATTCTCCATTGCTTTCTACTATCAGTGAAAGTCGAGTTGGTGGTGTTTCGCGTATAAATTCACCTACGAAAAGATTGCATATTTCAACACCGTCTTATCGCGTTCCAAAACCTATTCGGATAAACACTGCAGATATTGATGTATCTGCTAATAAATATAGACGCGAAAGACCAATACCTCCGGCCCCTATACCTGAATCATGCATAGTTTATGGTGTTAGTCCAACAAAATCATCTTCCACGCAGGATGGACCGTATATGCCGCGTGCAGACCCGCACGAGGATGATGCTACCAATAGGTCTACCATTAAACGAGGGCGCACTGTCGTACGTTTGTCCACAGTGAGATCACGTGGATCGGGATCATCACAACATGATAAAATTAATTTGAAACGTGAGTTGGCCAATGATGATGAATGTAAAAGTGACAAAAGGATTTGCAAAACACCCGGAGAAAAGTTAATGGAAAAACATTTAATACGAGATAGAAGTTCAGATGAGCAGAATTCTCCTATTGTTGACGAAAACGAAGAACCTGAAGCTTTTCGAGGAAGGGCCCCAAGTTTTCATGATATTTGTAAAGATATATCATCTGATAAACTTTACGATGATTTAAATGCCGGTGAATTACGTAGAATAGTTGATAGACGAAAATCCGAAGATAAAACTGCAATAAGCCCCATAATAGAAGTACCCGCAGAGATCGTAGACGTTTTTAATGAAGATGGAACATTTCGCCGAAGGACAACATTGAAAAAGTTGCGTAAATCTACCAAAGCTATTTTTGTGGAAATGCCGGATTCTTCATTCATTGATAACAAAGTTCCGTCAGATCAATTTGCAAATACTGAAAATAAGCAAAAAGAGCCAAAATCGCCTAAATTCACAGCAAGCGTTGAAGTTCAAAACTCTGGGCCAGCTCTCCGTGCTATAGCTACAGAAGTGCAGGTCGAATCTACAACTATCAAACCAAAAAGAAAATTCTTCTATAAAATTGTTGTTGAAGATGTAATAGAGTCAAAAATTGATTCTAATAGTAATATAGAATTAAATGCTGAAGTGAAACTTAATTCAAAAATTATAGCTGAAACGAAAAACAAAGATTGTAATGCAAATACGCTCATTCTCGAAAATGTTATGGAAAGTCCAGAGAAACCACTTTTTTATAACAAATCTTTGAATACCTCGTCGAAAAATTTACATAGTCAATTTAAAGAACCTCAAGCAAGTAAGAAATTATCAAAGAAATTAAGTACACGTTCGAGCAAGTCTGGTAGTACTGCTGATGATTCATACAATTTTTGGGATGTAATCGGCAGCAGAGAAAGCGTTTATTGTAACGCTAGGCGACAGAGAATACTGGAAGAACAACGCAACAGATTTTCTGAAGCAGAGGTCATTGCTGAAATTCCTGATACACCTTCTGTAACGGATTCTATAAAAACAAGTGATTTACTCGATGTTTCGAAACCTGTGGCAAATCCTGACCCTGTTAAAAATTCCAATGTAGCAAAATCACTCAAGAAAATGAAGCCAGCAAATTTAGATCTGAAGATTCAACAAGTAAGTGAAAAAAATATTACTAATGATTTAATAAAGTCTATTGCGTCTCCTAAAAAAGATAAAGATGAAAAAACTTCAATACATTCTCCTGCTAAAAAGGACGCACCTTCTACTACTAAAATAGATGCAGTTACATCAACTGCGATAACTACGTCTACTAACTTGTCCGCAGTAAAACAGTCAAACGAAACCTTATTGCAAATAAATAAACAGAAAGAACAATTGGAAAATGTTAAGAACAAGACTCCAGAAATTACACCGCCAGTTACACCAAAATCTCCAGTCCAACAACATTTTAAAAATAAGATTTCTGAAAGTGTGACTTCAGTTGCACCAAAATCGCCAACCTTGAAAAATTTTAAAGATAAGATTCCTGAAGATACTATTCCAGTTCCACCAAAATTACCAATCCAGAAAAATGTTAAAGAAAATGTCCCTGAAGTTACAACGCCAGCTGCACCAAAATTACTCATTCATAAAAAAATGAAAGATAATATTTCTGAGGATGTTACGCCAGTTATACCAAAATCACCAATGCAAAAGAATCTTAAAAATAAGACTCCTGAAGAAACAGCGCCAGTTAAACAAAATTTTGAGAAGCAGCTAAGCAGCCAAAGCACCAAAAAGGCCGATGATTTTGATTCAGATAGAAATAAAATACCAGCTGTTGAAGAAGAAAACAAAATTAATTCAAATGCACTGTCAGATACGAAAGTAATCAATTTGGCTCCTAAAAATGAAGATACCAAAAAATCGCCAGTAACAAATGCGAAAAATGATGAAGTATGCAGCCCGAGCATCAAAAGTACTGAAATTGTAAATAATACAAGCTCAAAACCAGTTGGCAAGATTAAAGGACCTCCTGACTCCTCCAAACCAGCGGATGCAAGCCCGGAAAAGAATGTTTCACCTACTAAACGCAAAACAAAAAAATACATTAAAGCCAAGACCTCCGATTTACGTAATGCACCTGATGTTAAGGACGAATGCGAGTTAACCAAAGTGATTGAACAAAATAATAATACAATTAGAAGGCAAAGTAGTGAAAATGATGCATCTTTATATGTTAAAATAGAACCAAAGGATGGTCATAAAACAGTTGTTGCCAAACCTAAACAAAATAACATAGTAAGTAATATTAATAATAACAAATTGACGTCAGCTAAAGTGCTTGATAAATCAAAAACCAAAACAGAGATTAACCATAAAATAGTTCCAACTAAAGTAAATGATAAAACGGACGAAACAGTGAATATTAGTGAAACAGAATCAAGCGGTCCCGACAAAATTAAAAAGGCTAATAAAGTTTCAGTGAAAACTAAATCTCGCAAAGAAAGTGACTCAAATGAAACAAAATTGAATGTTCAAAGTCTTGACCAATCCCAAAATAATGAAATAAAAATCGCATCGGATAAAATAGTTATTAAAGAAAAACCATGTCAAGAAAAATGTACAGAACCAGACTTGCGAAAAGATACGGAGGTCAAACAACAATCTCAAAAATCTAAGAAATCATGTAAATCTACTTCCAAAACAAAAATAATTGAAGAAGATAAAACGAATAAGAAAATAGTATCAAATGTTATATCTAATGAAGAAACTACAAATGAGCCTGTTAAAGAAAAAGAAAATTTACCACAAACTACAGATAATGAGAAAAAATCTTCTAATTTATCTGGAAGGCAGTCTCTAAAATCCTTTACAGAACGAGTGACAGAAAAAGTAAGAAATCCATCTCTTCACAGAATGCCTAATATACCAGACGAGCCCAAGCTCAAACCTACGCTAATATCAATGAACACATCATCGGATCTGACATCAATAGCAGCTAATGAGTCTGATGCACCTCTGAAAAATAGATTTAAATTAAAACCAAAGGATGAACCAGCAACAAAGCCCTTGATAGCAACACCGAGACCACTTCAAGCTGTAATTAGGAATCGAAAAGCTCAACAATTGCATCAAAGCATCGATTCCAGCGATACCTCGGACAGTGATTGGACCGATTCATCCGAAGAAGACTCGGAAGATGAATATTTTGAATGTGGCAGCCCACTTAATAACAATGTGCCATCCATGGATAGTTTGATAAGTAATACAAATATATAAAGTTCACACATATATTTTGATTGTAATTTTAATGATAATTTTATTTGCAGCCACGGAACCTTCATATGCCTACGAGCAATTTCTCAAAACTTCACGCATAATACCCCCTGCCACAAAAATTCCCAGGTTTAGAAAATATTGTTTGGATGACTTCAATTTTTTGAAAGTTTTAGGAAAAGGTAGCTTTGGAAAGGTAAATGCATTTTACACGTTGTGTTGCAATTTAAGAAGATTTAATATTTTTTTATTCATCTTTTTCTGTTTAGGTTCTATTAGCAGAATTAAAAAATACTGAATATTACTACGCTGTAAAATGTTTGAACAAAAACATAGTTCTGGAAGACGATGATGTCGAATGCACATTGATTGAACGGAAAGTTTTGGCTCTAGGAACTAAACATCCTTACTTATGTCATTTATTTTGTACATTCCAAACAGATGTGAGTAATCATTAGAATAATATAATTTAATCCTTTCGCTGCAAGAGTATTTTCTGAAGGAGACTGCTGTATGATCCAGCAAGGCGCCCTAGTATATTTTACACTTTATTATCGATAAAAATTTATTAAACTTTTAACTCATCATCAGAGCAATAAATCTTGCAACAAAAGTCGACATATTGTTTACATTTCGTCTATAGGCGACACCCGAGCATAAAGTTAGCCTATAGGCGACGCTTGCAGCGAAAGAATTACTGGATGTACAATATAAATGAAATTATAATTATCATTCCAGTCTCATTTATTCTTTGTGATGGAATATTTGAATGGAGGAGATTTGATGTTCCATATTCAACACAGTGGACGCTTTCCAGAACCAAGGGCGTCCTTTTATGCAGCCGAGATCGTGTCTGGATTAAGGTTTCTCCATAAAAAAGGAATAGTATATAGGTATGACAAAATCATCTTTGCTTACAATAATATTTAAACCTTCAGTCATAAATAATTTTTTCTCTAGGGACCTAAAGTTGGACAATATTCTTCTGGACTTTGATGGACATGTACGGATTGCAGATTTTGGAATGTGCAAGCTGCAGATATATTTAGACAAGACCGCAGACACATTCTGTGGGACTCCGGATTACATGGCACCAGAAGTAATATTGGAATCCATATATGATTCTTATGTAGTATTTTGAGCAATGCTCCAAGGCCGCATTGCCTTCCTTTCAGATTATCAAAGGCTTACGCTACAACCAATCTGTGGACTGGTGGTCATTTGGAGTCTTACTATATGAAATGTTGATAGGACAATCGCCTTTTAGTGGCTGTGATGAAGACGAACTTTTCTGGTCAATATGCAATGAAATTCCATACTATCCAAGGCATCTTTCAAATGAAGCCCTTGAAATTCTGACAAGGGTATGATTAAATTTTATGAATTATTTGAGTTTATTAATTACCAAGTGTAATATTTAATTAACTTTACATATCTTCATTCATAAATGTAAATTTAATTAAGCATATTTATACCTTATAATTTGATTTCCCTATGCCACAACAGAAAGAAAGTGTTTACATTTATAAATCTGTATTTCTTTCAAAGTTTTTAAACAAAGATGCAGAATTACGGCTTGGTAGTAAAACTTGTCCTTATGGGGATGTTATGGATCAGCCATTTTTCCAATATATTAATTGGGATCGACTGGAGAGAAGGCAACTGGAACCACCTTTCAAACCCAGAGTGGTAAATTATACTTGTAAAATAATAATATATCATATTTAATTTGCTATCTCGGTTCATCAAATATCTTAAATTCTTTTAAAATATGTAATGAAAAATTGATTTAGAATCGCTTTAAACAAAAAAATTATAAAAAATATTTGTTTTCTGGAGCCATACACTATGATAAAATTTTGTATTATCATTTCAGATGCACCCATTAGATACTCAGTATTTTGATAAAGCTTTCACTGGAGAAGTAGCTCGTTTAACTCCTATTGACGAAGTTGTGATGAGAGGTATGGATCAAGAAAGATTTCATGGATTTAGTTACACAAATCCCAACGCTACAGACTGAACTATCTAATCCCATACATAATTTAATTGGCCATATTGGCTTATGAGTTAATATTTTATACTTTATACATAGGAACAATTTTTATTATAGCTCAAAATTGTCATGATATATTACTATCAAAAAGTATTTGATGGTATTGAAATAGTACAAAAATTAAAAATATATTTTATATAATTGTTGTTAATAAACAGCAGTACTTTATTTTTTCATAAAAATTTCTTTTGTTGGACCAACTAATATTATTAATATTTCTATATAAATTTATTAATAAGTAAATGTTAAACTAACTTGTATAACGTTCCAAGATAAAAGATTCATATATAATTTTATTACTTCTTCAAATATATTTTAATTTTTATATTTCAATATGTACAGTAAGTAGTATTTTTAGAATTATTAACTATTACCAATCGCTTTAGTTATTTGTATAATTTATTTTCAAACTCAAGGAACAAAATTGAATTTATCAACAATAACTGTATATAATTAGAATTAGAAGTTGACTTTATCTACATTATCATAATTAATACAAAAAAAAATCCGTAAGTAGATAATAAAAATGAATTTATTATATACCACGAAAGCCTTTTCATTTGCAATTTCTCGTAACTGATGATATAATATTTGAGAAAGATTGGAAATAACGAAAGTAAATTGTAAAATGGGCATTTAGTGCACAATAAGAAAATAGACTTATGTGGTTCTTATAATTGTGGAAATGGAAATATAATATTTCCAAATACAGTTTACATATTTTTTCTATCATCATGCACTTATATTCAAAATAATCATGCACAACATGCGGGAAAAAATCTAAAAAGGGTCTTTGATAGTTTCGATCAAGGATGGACCTAGTGCAATACCTTCATTCTTACAACCTCTTTATAATGGATGTAGGTATAACAAAATGAAGTTGATCAAAGCAACAAATCACAATTGAAACACTCAAATGAGATTATTTAAAAAAACAACTTGCCAGGAAAAATATTGGAATTATTTACTTTGTTTCATATGAATTTATTACTTAATTTGGTAAGTATTAAATTGTAGATGGTATTAACAAACAATACAATTATTTTATTGTATCTAATTACTATTTATCTTACAGTGCATCTAATAGGCAAAAATATCAGATTTATCAGTGAGAATTGTTGCAGGGATAATAAAGTGTAGATGAATAATAATTAAAGTAAAAAACATCTGAAGTATCAAAGAAATTGTTGCAATTATATGAAATTCATTGATTATACAATTACAATAACACAATATATTACTTTTAGTATTTGAGGTAACGGCAGTATAAAAACATGCTTGGGGCAAAAGTTGTAGAATTTTAGGATGTGGTCCCGGTATCTGAGCCAGTTGAAAGAAATTAATTGCTTAAATAAACAGATATATAATAGAGAAGTGAAAAATAACGTAAGTAATAAAGAATTAAAGTTCTTTCAAGAATAAACAACATATAATTGTTTGTATATATTGTTAGTGAAATATATGTTATAGGGTGTATATTATTATTATTATTATAGTTTAATATATTATAATATTAGTTAATATTATTATAGTGTACCATGGAATTAGTTTGATCAGTATGGCATTTTGTATAAAACAGTAGAATGTGTTTCGTTTTATTTTGTGGATAAATGTATAATTATGTTCAGTGATTAAAAGTACGAGTTATGTTGTGTTTATAATTAGCCAATAGTCGGCTAACAATATATATAAATGTTTTGTGTGTATATTTGTATTTATAATAAAATTTAAACATGACGCGAAGCTTGTTGACATATTACTTCAGAAGGTAAAAATATTATGTAGACAATCCGCAATTTCTTAATTACATTACATCTTAATGATATTGTTATTAAAACCGGATATGAAATATTTAATCACTTACACTTCCAAATAATGTTTAGTCATTTAAACCCACTTTTGTTAAAGAATTGTGCGGTGCAGCATATTTTTCCCATGTAGGTTCTGTAATTTTTGTTAAAAGAGTAGTAGAATATCTTAAATTAGGATGTTAAATAATTCATACATTCAATGCTGACATTTAACCAATCATGATTAATTACTATTCTTTTATCTAGGGTTGCCAAAGTTGTACAGAATTACCTCGGGATCTTTTTACAAAAAAACTTTTCCGCTACATCAGGCAAGAAATAAAATTCATTGCCCACTGGCAATACTGATATCCATATATTTTACGTGATAGAACTGTTGTGGTTATTTTAAGGATTTTAAGTTTTCTTAAGTATTTTTTTTTCCAAGCATTTCGATGTAGTAATCAAAGTTTTTCACAAATTGTTGTATCTTATGTGAATTTATAAAAATAGGCTTACGTTTATATTCATTAGTAAGTAATTTTTTGAATATATTTTTGAAACTGTCTTGTTTTGATGTCTATCATTACATAATTTATCTAATATTATGAATTTATTATTAATTCGTTTTTCGTTTTAATAACGTAGAAATTCGCATATTCACACATTGTATCGACCTTGATATTTTTTTTATTAATGTTTGCCTTAAATGTTTTAGTGTCAAAAGTCACCCATACTGATCAAGTGGACTCCATAGTAAGTAGCTTTTAGTATATGTAGTATCTATATTACTTTATATTTTCTTGCATTTATCTACTTTATCTAACATTACCAAATCTGATGTAAAATACTGCTTCATATAAACTTGTTACAACTTGTATGTAATTTTTCTAATTGGCTAATTTATCTATTTACTACTATTTGGAAAGTTATATTGATTAATATAATATTTGCATAAATAATTTTAGGTTCCACACAACAAAAGGCCGCGCACCAGTGATGATTTTTACACATTCTGTCAAATAGTATTAGAACACGAAAACTATGAGATGACTAGGCAAGAGGTAGGTAGAACTTGCTAATGAACCAAATTGTCGAAATTTGTGCTTAGGAATTACAAATTTGTTGTAATAAAATTTATTTAATAGTCAATTGAATTTTGTTATTTTAGGAACTACGTCACTCAGCTATTAGTCCAATCGACAGCTCAGGTAGTATGACATCTGAATCTACTCACAGTTCAATTCCTGAAGATAAGAACTTGTCGTTGGATGATGATACTGGAAATGAATCAGGTATGTAATGACAGATACAGGTCTAAACATTTAGTATGCAATGCCATGATTTGATGTTAGAGACTCCAGTTCTTAGTAGCCTCATTATTATCAGTTAGTCTGTGAACTTTGTTTAGTTTGACAGCTGAAATTTTATTTCAAGTGATACAGTGCGACAAATGCTTTTTGAAGCATTGTGTTTTCAACATACAAATTATTTGTGCTTTGCGAACTAGTTCTGTATAACAGAATCTGACAACTTTCAATATGTAATCAATTCTATTTTTTTCAAAAATGCATAGTTTGTGCATTCAATATTACGTTTATGCTTACATCTATTTTTGTACTATGAAAATAATATTGATTTAATATATGTTTCTTATTTATTCATAAAACTTGTTATAGGAACACTCAGCATTATAGAAACTCTGATAAAATAAATGTATAAACAAGCTTTGTGAGTGTATACTATCTTCTAACATGCGCATATAGTGACTGTGTTCAATGGAGAGTTATTTATATAAATGAAAATCATATTATTCTTAATACTTTATTGAATATCATTTGTTTTAGGTTTTGTAATTTTTTATTCATACAAGTAGGTGAGTAACAATATATTATTCTGTTTTTAGAAACTATTGATGTTGAATCCTATAATACTGTTACATGTTATTGTGGAAAGCCTTTCGCAGCAAGACCGATGATAGAGTGCTCGATTTGCCTAACATGGCTCCATTTATCTTGTGCAAAAGTGAAAAAGAACAATATTCCAGATATTTTCTCATGTCAGAAATGTAAAAGTAAACAATCTGGGATTTCATCCATTCATTCAGCTTCTTCCATGCATTTCAAGCCTACATCTAGACGTAAAAAGCGTGTAAGTTTATAGAGATAATCAGTATCTTATATAAAAACCTTGTACAAAATGTGATATTAGCCTTTGGCCGTAATGATTATGAATGTGAATATTTTGTCATATGCTATTCTTAATTATTGCTGATAATCAATTATTTGCATAATTGGAAACGTTCCATTTTGACAACAATGTTTGGCTTTATTAGTTTTAAAATTTTGTGCTGTTTTTTTATATACAGAAGTAAATCTTACTTTTGTGATTTTTTATGGCATTGAAAAGGTTGATGCATCACTACAGATCTGCAGGATCTACATTTCAAGTGAGATACTTCATTCATTTTTTTATTATTCTTAAGTAGTTTAGATACGAAAGTTATAGAACAAGTTTATTCATTTCAATATTTGTTTTCCTGTTAAGAATACTGAAAAATCCTAGTGTAAATTAAAACTTATTTAATTCATAGAATGAGAAAATTGTATAGATGTTGGCATTATGATCAAAAATTTTGTGATTTTGTCTTCAGGAAAGTGAAGCATTCAATTGTTCATAATGTTATTATATTTTTCATGTTGGTTTAGTTTTTGTTTAATTTATTGAAAGAACTTCTATGAGATACATGACATGCTTGTATGTATATGTACATTAAAACTTTGTCTGATTGTTTCTGGTAAATGATACTTACATAAAGCTGATTTCAGTATGTATGTGAGCATATGTGTGTATATTTTCTAATTCAAAAAATATTTTGTATTTTTGAAATAGTTGCTACACATAAGGTTTTCAATATAGAGATATATTTTAATTATTGTAAAAATGTAGTTTTTGTAAAATTTTCGTAATGTAGCCGTTGTTTTATTAATATTAAGATTTTGGCTGTGTAAAATCTTGTGTCTTTATTAATCGTTATGTTACGAAAAATTATTCAAACAATAAATAATTGTGTTAGTGGATTGCCATCTATTAAAATGTGCAATTGATTTGATCTAAAATAATAATAGAAAAACTACATTTTTTTGGATTCTTCATTTTAGAGATAATAATTTATTTTTGGGATTATGTACAAGCAGATTAAGTTCATTAATATATATTGTAAGATTGTCTATATCGCATTTAAATCAATCAAATAAAATAATTTAGACAAATTGTTGATATAAAAACTTCTTGAAGTTTCTTTTTTATGTTTAAAAAAATATGTACAAACCCAGGTGGTTATTTTAATATTTTTATGTAGAAAAAAATCCTTGCCTTTTATTGATTTAAAAAAATATAGCAATTTAAAATATTTTACTGTTGATATGTTATTGGGGATATTTTTTATATTGTGTGAATTTGTACAACATAGCACTAGTCGACTATTTTTAGTGATTGGTCAAATGCACTATGATTGCAAGTTTCCAGTGAGAATTATTTTTATCATTTAGTCATACATAATTGTAAATATCATTTTAAATTAGTATGTATCATTTTAAATTAGTTGATATCATTTTAAATTAGTAAATACCATTTTAAATTAGTGTATCATTTTAAATTAGCAAATTGTCTAGTGTACTACTTGATTCAAGAATTTTATTTGAAAAATGAGTTTGCCATAGCTTTTATTTGAATGTAGCAATAAAAATGTTGTTAAATCATAATTGCGCATATATTCATTGTGATATAATTATATTTTGGTACATTAGATGGAATAAAGCATTTTGTAATTCATTTTTAAATAAATTCATAAAAGAGCATGTACATACCCAAGATTTTTATAGGATTATCAGAAATGATTAATTTTTGATAAATTGAGGCAGGTTTTTCATGATTGATACATCTTTGAATAACATTGTATAATATTAAGTAAAATAAATTTGTACATTCAAATATGTACAACTATTTTAATTGTATTTTGAAATATTAATTTATTTGTCTATTTTTATACCAGCACTGTATATTTACTGTTAAAATTGAGTATTAATTGGAACACAGATATTAGAACAAATTATTTATTTCTCAAATTCATTACATTATCTTTGAATATGAAACATTAAAGACTTATTGGATCAGAATGAGTTTTTTTAACTCTATGAGGAATATATAATACAACTTCACTGGATTTTTTTTTAAGTCTAAAAACATTCACTGACGTAAATTATTACATTTTAATAACATTGTCCATATATGCACACATTTGGCTCTGCCTATAAACAATAATCAAAAGATTCCAATTATACACAATAGTTATCACTCCATTTTACCCTGTGTAAGTCTGTGTAGATCGGAGTAGAAACAGTAATTTATTAGACATAAGAACATCAGTTTAGAACACTTATTGTATAAAGATTTATCAAAAACCACCATATCCTATATCAGGTTTAATACGGTCGAACATATTAGGCAAATAACTAGGCGCAGGCGGCGCCTGCGTGTGGCCGCCGTAAGCCGTATTATAATATGGATAGTTTGAGCCTGGTACGTGGATCGAAGACGGAGGGACGTGCGGCGCGACGTGCCCGTAGCCGGCGTACTGCTGGCCGTAGGGATATAGTGGCGTCACCGGCACTGGAACATGAGAATCCATATACGAAGGTGTTCCCATCAAGTTACCGTACGGAGGAATACTCGAATTCAATGGACTGTAATTCGACGACAGGCTACTAACGGAAAACGAGTTCGATGGGACGGGTAGGTTGCCGTATCCGGCGCTACTCATAGCGTAATTTGAAGCTGGATAGTGGCTGATGGAAGGTGTTGAACTGTTCATTGATGAGCTAACTGGATATGCACTAGGTATATATTGATCATTATTTTCATTATTATTTAAAGCTGTATTATGAACTACGCCTTCACCATCGGCGATACTTGGAATTTGATCTACGAGCGACTCTAAACCGGAAAGACTTTTAGAAGTGACGTCTTGCAATTTGTATTCCGATGATGGTTCCGGTCCCTGCGCCGATGCTTGGGAATAGCTTTCGTTTTCATTAGTATAGGGACGATAATTTGAATAGCTGTGTGGAATTTGCGGCGCCGAGGCCGGTGGATGCTCACTGACCGTGGATGGGGCAGGGCTGGAGAATCTGCATTCGGTCGTGTCCTCAGTCGGCATATTTGTCGGCGGATCGAAATCTGGAGGACCCAGGCTGGGGATGTTGGTGATGGCGATTCCAAGTGCTCAGATGATATTGCGGCACTAATTTCCGAAGATAGATCCGAATGAGTGAAAGATTGCGATTGTGGCTGCGGCGATTGAGTGTAGGGCTGATGCGTTATGCCCAAATTATTCATATTGGAATAGCCTACTGGTGTTCCGGGAGTTGATGAATTATTATGATGATTATTTGTGTTGATGTTCATTTGGCAAAAATTTGTAGGTGACTGCATCGGTAAGGGAGATGAAAAACATTTCATCATTGATGAATTATTTTGATCTAAGCATATATAGTTACTACTACTATCTTCAGGTTTGATCTTTTTTGGTCGACCCCTCTTCTTTTTTGGCAAATTATTGTTCGCTGATGATGCGGGTTTACGGGGCTGTGTTTGTTTAGGCGTTTCTCCTTCGACCTTAACTTTTTTGGGCCGCCCACGTTTCTTTTTACCAAGTGGATCTTTTTTTCCTAGAGAATTATTGCTAATATCTATAAAGTCTCCAGTGCAGTCGGGATATAAGTCTGTCTCTCCTTTAATATCATCACACATTTTCAGTTTTGATTCACTGAATACTATTTCTGATTCGTCTATACTTGCTACCATACCATTCAAATAATCTCGAAATTTTTTAAGTGCAGCATAGAATGGCACTTTATCTGCAGCGCGTGGAAGTTGAGCACACCTTGCGCTTGATGATGGCATAACCCACATATACTGAAACAGATAAATATACATAAAGATAAATATATATTTGGTTATAAATTAATGGAAGGAGTGACTTTAAAAATGAAAAAAAAAAACGCACAAACAATTCATTCAGTCTTCTCTCTTAATAATCAATTAATTGTTCTTGTTTTTTTTATCAAATAAATATATGTGAATTGTACAAACCGTATTAGTGCCATCGACCAGATCAGGTTGTCGTCCAAAATTGAAGTCCTTTTTTCCGGAAAACACCTCAAAAATCAATTTGCCATTGAAAACAGCAATCTTTGGTTTAAAATGTTGTAATTTCTCTAAGAGTATTTGGCTTCCTTCTTTGATTTCTTTCCGTGTTAAATCCGCACTACCTTTTGTTGCCCTTTGAACCATATTTGTGAAACCTATTCCGATTTGTAATAGTTTATAATCCTCGTCTGCGGTCATTTGCTCGGCAGTTAAGCCCGACAGGTACAGACATTTCCAAAAATGATTACCCGGTCCAGCGTAATGGTGACCTTTGTAAGCTGCAAACAGTCCTGGATTTATCCCAATCTGTTGAATAAAACGCTCTGATGATTATACTGTTGGCCGGATTAATTAAAATGCATTTAACTTACGATTATAATATCTAAATTGGGAGTTAAGTGATCGGGTAAAGTTCTTTTTGATACCTCTTCCTCTGGCATTCCATTAAACCGATCATGTTTCTTCCTCTCTTTGATGATGGGTGTTGGTCCAACAACCATTCCATCAATATCCATACTGTATTGAGTACAAATTAATCACGTCAAGAATCACTTTGAAATATAGTGAGCAATACTGCCATTAATAATAATAACAGTAAATTTTATTTCTGTTTAAACTGAAAGATTATAAACACTCAAAAAATATACCAAATAAATATAATCAAAATAATAATACGAAATTCAAAAGGCACATAATTTTTATAAGCTTAAAACTATATAATTATGTAAATTATATTAACAATGACAGAGTAAGTTAATTAGAAATTAAATTGTAAAAAGGCAATAGCTTGTGAAAAAAATGTACATTTGCGAATTATATAATATACAGTAATACCCCGCTTTGAAGCAATTAACTGAGCAAGAAGGAAACAAAAATATTGACATCGAAATATAGTGATTTCGATAAAAAGCAAGAAGAACATTCAATGGTGTTTGGAAATAGATTCTGAAATTAACCATTTCGGATTGTACAGCAGTGTTGAAACACTATCGTAGCGAAAGGATTCAAGAGCAATTTTATTTTATTTTTCAAAATTTACTTGGAGTGTTAGAAATAATTTATCCACTTTTTAACTTACTACGTTAGATGCCTTTTTGGCAAACTACTCTGATGGATCGTAGCCTTCGCGTTGACCGGGGTGTTACTTTATATATATATATATATATATATATATATATATATATATATATATATAAATGTATACCGGGGTGTTACTGCTTACCCTGTATCTTGTTTATTTTTTTTCTTCCGGCCTCGTTTTTTGGGACTAGGCATCAAGTTTTCGATGTCAACGGGGTTGCGCTGATGTGCCTGGTGCACGGGCGATATCATTTGCGAATGGTTAACGTTGTTCGCGTGAACGTCAGCCAATTCGTCG